GGCTGACCACACTCTTGCCCTACGCACTCCCTGCAGAGCGGCATCCCCGAAGAGGGCCAAGCAATGACTCCCAGCAGCAAGCCAGAATAAGCAACGCCCGCACACCAATCCCGGAGTACACTCACCTCCTGATGCCCTGAAGAGGCAAACCTAACCAGACAAGGAAGCAGCCCACAGAAAACCAGCGAGGAGCCCAGAGGCATGTCTGGAGAGACATTGCCAGAGCCCCAGCCTTGAAAGACACTAAAGCCCTGTCACGCCGACACGGCAGATCAGGCATCGGCTGACCATGTGCCCGCAACCACCCGCTAAGCATTGAACCCGCCATGTCGATGGTCCTAGAACCGTGTGCCAGCTCACGAACTTTCGATCAGCCAGGGTGATACTTTATCTGTAGACTGTTGTTTAGCCTTAGCATGTTTATATACTGAGCCTTTGGGTATAGCTTACCGTACAAATCTTGTCACACACCCAATAGACATGCATTCAAACTACCAGCCAGCATTACACAGCATAACAGTACCTAAGCCTGTTCCACACTATGTTCAACTATGTACTGTACCTTTAATACTTATACGTCACACCAGTGCCATCTCTGTTATTAACCTTTGAAACACACACTGGCACAAGAGCGAGCCGCCAGCTAGATTTCAGATACATCACAGATAATCTAGTGTTAACCTGATAGCAAAGCGCAGCAGTTTAATATGTTTTAAGAATGCCGTAACGTACCAATTGATTGATGTCAGACGTAAATACCCAGCACGTATTTAACAAGTCTTATCGACTTATAAAAAAAAAAAGTGTGCTTTTTATCTGAATGTCATACAGCTGTTAATGAATACTTGTTTTTAAAATGTATGCAAATGCTGTTCTGGCATTGCTGACATGCGTATGTTATCTCAAGCACAGCAAAAATAAAAAATTTAAAAAAAAAAAAAAAAAAGAAAAAAAAAAAGCACTATTTTTCTTTAACTCCATAATGACTGTTGTATATTAATTGTTCTCTGCAGTGAACATACATAAAGAGATTAAGGAAGCAGGATGTGTGTTAACAGCATAAGTCCATGGCAGCTTAAAGGGTTAAAGACAGTCTTGTTTGCAGTCTAACAGGTAGGTTCTGGGCAAAACTTAAAATACAGCATGAGACATGCTTACATACAGAGTGAGACGTGCTGAGGTGATTTTAAGTAGCCTTGTTATATTTAACCCCTTAAGGATCGGACTGTTTTGGCCATGTTGTACGATAAGGACCAGAGCTTTTTTAAAAGCGGCACTGTCATGCCGAACTTACCTTTCCTCAATCTCTTCCTCTTCTCCCCCTCTCTCAGGATCTGTTATTCTTTTCTTCCTGTCTTCTTTAGTTTTCTTTAAAATCATAAGACAAAGTAGGGACTCTTTCCCTTATGGAGGTTTCCTCCGCTTGACCAGCTTTGACCAGCGGAGGAGCAAAGTGTGCTTCATTTCCGCTGGTCAGAGCAATTTTCCCATAATTCTTACCTTTCCTCTGTGATCTCGCGATGCTTCCTGTCATTTTAGAAGAAACTGCCGAATTGCGTTCTAACGGAATTAGAACAGTATGGTCGTTTGTTTTAGAACTCAATTCGGCACTTTGTTCATATCGGAATTTCATTCGAATGAATGAAACTCAGATTAAATTTGTGCCACGGCTGCATCTTGCATCCGCTTAGTAGATAACTCCCTAATTCCCACGGTATCAAGGAGCTATCTACCAAAAGGCTGAAAGACCTAAATTGGTCTTTCAGCCACATTTATAAATACTAAGTAAAGATTACTTAGTATTAGTAAATGATCTGCCCCTACTCGCTATACCGCGAGTAGGGGCTGCTCACTGTAAAAAAACAAAAAACCCTATTGGCCCCACCCCTGAGCGGTGGGTGGGGGCCATAATGGACAATCGGGGGGGGACCTACTGTCCTCCCCCCGGCCCCCACCCCTGCGCGGTGGGTGGGGGCCATAAATTACAATGGGGGACCTACTGTTCTCCCCCCGGCCCCCACCCCTGCACGGTGGGTTGTGGCCATAAATTACAATGAGGGGGGGGACCTACTGTCCTTCCCCCGGCCCCCACCCCTGCGCGGTGGGTGGGGGCCATAAATTACAATGGGGGGACCTACTGTCCTCCCCCCCAGCCCCACCCTTGAGCGGTGGGTGGGGGCCATAAAGATAATGAGGGGGGGACCTACAGTCCTCCCCTCTCGGCCCCCACCCCTGGGCGGTGGGTGGGGGCCATAAAGAAAGTAGGTCCTCCCCTCTCATTATCTTCATGGCCCCCACCCACCACTCAAGGGTGGGGACCAGAGGGAGAACAGTAGGTCCCCCCATTGTAATTTATGGCCCCCACTCACTGAGCAGGGTTGGGGGCCAGGGGGAGGACAGTAGGTCCCCCCCTTATTGTTATTTAGGGCCTCCACCCCCCGTCCAAGGGTGGGGGCCGGATAGTAGTTTGTTTTTTTATTACAGTGAGCAGCCACTAGCTGCTCACCGTTTAGTAGACATGCCCCATACTTGCGGTATAGCAAGTAGGGGCATTTGGGAGATTTTAATCTCCCTTATGCTATTATGGGGGGTCATATTGACCCCCATAGAGTGAGGGAGAACATGGGGGGCTTAGGAAGTGGTGGGGAGCTCTGCTCCCTGACGCTTCTATCTTTACATATTACAAGGAGGGAGCTGCGCGCCGGTAGCTCCCTCCTTGTAACAAATTGAACGAACAAACGAACACTGATGCTCAGTGTTTGTTTGTTCGTCTGACAATGCTATTCATGTATTAGTCTTTCTGACGAATTAATGAATAGATGAAATTCCCGTTCGCATGTCCAAGTGTTTAACTGGGCATGTGCGGGAATCTCACAGGCTATCTAGTGTGGGCAGATGGCGTGTCCTGAATATAGATCGGGGCAGAAAATAAAGATAAAAAAATAGGTAATATGGGGAGCTTAGGGGCATTTTGGGGTGACTAGGGGGTCAGTTAAATGTAGTGGAGTCGGGAGGGGGGTTAAAAAAAACAAAAAACGTGATTCAGCCATGACAGTGCCGCTTTAACACTTTTGTGGTGTTTTGTGTTTAGCTGTAATTTTCCTCTCTCTCATTTACGGTTCCCATACAAATTATATATTGTTTTTTTCAGGACAAGAAGGGCTTTCTTTACATACCATTATTTGTATCATGTCATATATTTCACTTAAAAAAAATAAAATAAAAATATGGTGCAAAATGAAAAAAACAAACAAACATGTTTTTGGACCTTTACTTGAAAAATCTTTTACTTATCTACAAAAGCTAATGAAAAAAACTGCTAAATAGATTCAAAATGTTGTCCTGAGTTTAAAAACACCCAGTGTTTACATGCTTTTTTGCAAGTTATAGGGCTATAAGTATACATATTTTTTTATATATATTTTTTACATTTATCAATAGTGACATTGTAACACTGTTATCTGTCATAAATCTCCAAATCACACCTCACATGTACATATTTTTAAAGTACACAGCCCAGAGTATTGAATATGGGGTATGTCTAGTCTTTTTTGGTAGCCACTTAGTCACAAACTTAAAAAGTTAGCATTTATATTTGTTAGTGTGTTTAAAAATGCCAAAAACATGAGACAAATGGGCCGGGCAACCACGGACCCATGCTGGAAGGGCTGTGGGCAAAAGGGCACCTATATCCATCTTTGGTGGGAATGCCCACAGACCTCGCAAATATGGGAAAAAGTGGCCACACTAGCATCTAACATTCTTGAGATGGACATACCCAGGGACCCCTGGGTGTGGCTACTCTCCAAATCACACGCCCCCCCCAACAAGAGCCCAAAACAAACTGATAGCAAGAATGGCACTAGCAACAAGAGGCACGATAGCGGAACAGTGGGGCAACCAAACTACACCCCAATTAACCACTATGATCAGGAAAACGAATGAAGCCATGGAAATGGACAAACTGCTACACGACACGACACAACACTACCATAAGATATGGGACCCATGGACCCAACACACCCTACCGCTTAACTAACAGGAGGAACGGAGGACTACGAACGACCCCCCAACTGAGATCACCCCCAAAAATAGCAAACCACCCTGCCTGGGATCCTACCTCCCCCACCCGGCCTACTCCCTCCACCCCATCAGTACCCCCTTCCCTCTCAGCCCATCCCCACATACCAGGCCATATGAACGACCACCCAAGCTCACTAAGACATCACATCAGCATACCGTGAAACTCACCACATCTCAACTACACGACCTAGAAACCCAACCCAACCCAGACTCACCTTCAAGAGCAAACACCAAAACCCCTATAGCAAAAACAAAAACCTGAGACATCAAAAAGCACCTAACCCACAGCACGTATACACATCACCCTACAGACAAAGACCAGAGAGGACGAAGGACCACACAACAGATAAACAGAAACCCTCCATTGTCACCCCACAAAATACAGGCACACGACACCGACAAAAGAACACCCTACAAACCACAAAATTCACACACCCTAGGAGACATAGACACTACAAAAGCCACCCGACTCCACAAACTAGGACATACAACAACACATTCAAAAGAACCTCTCCAAGCGAGGTTTGCTACCCCACCCCCTTACTTCATTCTGTACTCCAATTTCTTTGAAAAACTGAAAAAACACCAAAATAAAGAATTTACAAAAAAAAAATGCAAAAATCAATTATGAACACTAACTTTGGCCAGTGTTTGTGACTAATTGGCTACTAAAAAAAGGCTGAACATACCCCATTTGCAATACCTTGGGTTGTCTTCTTTGGCAAATGGTATGACATTATGGGGGTAATTCTCATTCCTGGGCTACCATACGGTCTCAAAGGCAACAAAACCAATCTGGCAAATTTCAATGTAAAATAAAAAAGGAAAATCAAGCTTTATATTTGACCCTGTAACTTTCAAAAACACTTTGAAAGTGTTTTTGAAAGTTACAGCCACCACCCCCTACACTGTCACAGCCCCCCTACCAGCCCCTTCCCCAGCCCCCTACCACCCTCTCAAGCAGAGGGTGGTAGGGGGCTGGGGCAGGGGCTGGAAGGGGGCTGTGACAGTGTAGGGGGTGGTGGGGGAGCTGTGACAGGGCAAGGAGTGGTAGGGGGCTGTGACAGGGTAGGTGGTGGTGGGGGGGCTGTGACAGGGTAGGGGTTGTGGGGGAGCTTGACAGGGGGTGGTATGGGTTGGACAGGCAGGGCCCAGGGAGGCCTGGGACAGAGGGGTGGTGGGGGGGCAGGAGGTGGTAGGGCTGTGACAGGGTAGGTGGTGGGGGGAGCTGTGACAGGGGGTGAGGGGGCTGTGACAGGGTAGAGGGGAGGTGTACAGGAGAGGTGTGGGGAGGTGGACAGGAAGGGTGGGGAGGACTGTGACAGGTAGAGGGTGGTGGGGGGCTGTGACAGGGTAAAGGGTGGTGGGCGAGCTGTGACAGCGTAGGGTTTGGTGGGGTGGCTGTGACAGGGTAGGGGGTGGTGAGGGAGCTGTGATAGGGTAGGGGGTGGTGGGGGCTGTGACAGGGCAGGGGGTGGTGTGGGGGCTGGGGCAGATGGTGGTAGGGAGGCCGGTGGTCAGGTGGGCAGGCTGTATCCCTGGTGATCTGGTGGTCTCCCTATTCGGTCTGCAGCTCCCCTTGGTGCAGAGCTGCAGACCACGTGGTAAGTCTCGCGATCTCCAGTCAGAGCATTTCCGTGGTAACCCGCAGCAATGCTCTGATTGGCTGAAATCGCGAGACACCTCAGTTTGAAGCTCTGCACCTGACAGAGCTGCAGACAGGAGGCTGGCTCTCTCCCATGCAGGCTAACTTGATGGGCTTTGCACCCGGCGGCCTGGCCCCCTTCTGTGTCAGGCCCTCAGTCATAGACCGAAGACCCGACATGCCAGTCTGCCCTATGGCGATTTAGCTGCGAGGCCCCAGACCGTGCAAGGCCTAAATCGCCCAATTAGAGAGCCACCTCTGCCTGCAGGTGCAGACCCCCATCTTGTAAGCCCTAAGCATTTGATTTGATTAAGCTAGTTACTTGCTGTTGATTGCTGGTTAATTAGCTATTGTTTGCAAATAAGCAGAGGCCTACCCAGGTGTTAAACATTCCTAGTGGGCGGTGATTTTAGGAGTTATATAAGACCTGGTGTCATTAGCTTGTCTAATATAGCTCGGTGCTACTTCAAAGTGCTGTTTCTAAGTGTGTAGTTGGAGATATTCTGGAGATAACCTGGAGGTAATCCGAGGTATTCAGGAGGTAATCTGAGGTATTCAGGAGGATAAAGAAAAAAGTTAAGATTTGTTAGATTTAAATTATTCTCATAATTGGAATGGCAGGCTTAGTTCAGTGTAACAATTGCTATGCATTTGTTTCACGTTCCACTTTTTGGAGGTTTGGTTGTTGTCTTATCTGTAGACAGTTCTCTATCTTGCGGCAGGAGATTGTATTTTTTGAAGTCTGAGATTTGTAAATTATCTGGTGTAGAAACTCAGACTGGAACTGCTGCAAAGCCACTGCCGCAGAGACATGCTAGGAAAGGCAGATGGATTACTGTAGGATCTGGTAGACTTAGAGTTGTGGATAAAAGGCATTTTGCACAGTCTGTTGCTCTACATAATTCATTTCTGCACTTTCAGAGTGTAATGGTGTTGTGGAGAGAGGCACTGAGGCTAGTGGTGTTGTGGAGAGAGGCACTGAGGCTAGTGGTGTTGTGGAGAGAGGCTCTGAGGCTAGTGGTGCTGTGGAGAGAGGCACTAAGACTAGTGGTGCTGTGGAGAGAGGCACTAAGACTAGTGGTGTTGTAGAGAGAGGCACTGAGGCTAGTGGTGTTGTGGAGAGAGGCACTAAGACTAGTGGTGTTGTAGAGAGAGTCACTGAGGATAGTGATGTTGTGGAGAGAGGCACTGAGGCTAGTGGTGTTGTGGAGAGAGGCACTGAGGCTAGGGTTGTTGTGGAGAGAGGCACTGAGACTAGTGGTGTTGTGGAGACCGGCTTGGAGACTATGGTGAGGCCTAATAGAAAGCAGTTGTTGTTGGGTGATTCCATTATAAGAGGTGTGGAGATGGACAATGGTGGTCTTGTGAGGTGTCTTCCCGGAGCTACTGCTCACAGAGACAGGAGACGTATCTGTAATATTGTTAAGCAAGCAAAGCAGGAAGGGGAATTGGATGTACTTGTCCATCTAGGGACAAATGACTTGGCTTGCAATGAGGTTTCAGAGGTTAAGGAAGTTTTTAGTGTTTTGCCAATGATATACGGCAGGTTGCTTCCACACTGTCATTCTCTGAAGTTCTGCCTGTGCATAACACTCAGAACGACAGGCGGATGCGTATTAGGGACTTTAATTTGTGGCTTGGTGAATGGTGTTGGGAGCAAGGATTTGGCTTTATTTCATGGTAGCTCTGTTTGGAATGGAAATAACCTGTACAAAAGAGATGGTTTGCATCTTTTTCAAAAGGGAACAAATTTTCTCAGTGAGCAGTTCAGAGGTTTTGCTAGGATGTATTTAAACTAGGAGGGGGGGGGGGCAAAAGGGTGATAAAACATCAATTCAATTGTCCCCCAAAACAAAGACAGAAGGTGCCTGTAGCAAGTGTGTTAAAAAATGATAAGCTTAGAGTCATGTCTACAAATGCTCGCAGTTTAGGGAATAAGATCCATGAACTTGTGGCAATAATGGCAACTGTTAGTGTAGATTTAGTCGCTGTTACTGAAATATGGTATAATGAGAAAATGACTGGGACATAGCAATACCAGGGTACTCTTTATATAGGAAAGATAGGGAAGGCAAGAAAGGGGGAGGGGTGGCCTTGTATGTGAAGGATAGCATAAAATCTAGCCTAATAAAAGTTAGTGAGGCAAACATAGAGACCGCTTGGGCTACGTTAGAATTTGGTAATCACACAGTAACTCGTGTAGGTGTGATTTATAGGCCCCCAGGACAAATTGAAGAGTTAGATAATCTACTAGTTGAGGAAATAGCTAAAATGACAATGAAGGGGGAAGTTATCATCATGGGTGACTTTAATCTTCCTGATGTAAATTGAAAAACAAAATTAGCTACTTGTGCCAGGAGCACACATATTCTAAACTCCCTACTGGGATTGTCTCTAAAACAAGTTGTTAAGGAGCCAACTCGTAAAGAGGCCATACTAGATTTAGTGTTAACAAATGGAGATTTGGTATCAGATATTACTGTAGGTGAAAGTTTAGGATCCACTGATCATCAGTC